AATATCACCCCGAAAGTGGAAATAAACCTGTTGCGAGTTGAACGCTGTCCATGTCTCACGTGTGCTTTTGTGAGTGTCCTTTGTGTTGCTTTGCATTTGCAAAACCAAGACAAAATAAATTAACTGTTTGTGGGAATCGAACCTGTAATCGCTATAAAAGATTGAAAATGATGTTAAGACGCTGTCACTTCAGGTACTACTACTCCACAAATTTTTCTTATTTTTTATCTTTTGAGGCACAGGAATCTTGTTGGCTGTTTATTGTGATGTATTTTTCGAGCCGAGTGTGGGGCTGCGTTTGAGCCATGCATAAAAGCTTTTGAGAGTTCCTTTACACAGTAAACCTATTCTAGAGGAGAGATAAAAATTATCAGAAAATGATCAGGAAACATTAAGTAAGACCTTCAAGGGACCATGAAGGCAGTTTCGAAGTTTTATTCGACGATTGAAATGGATGTCAGGCACGCCTCAGATACTGTTGACCAAGTTCTAGCCCGAACAGAAGTTTGGGTGCCGCACCAATCGAGCAAACAGGCGCGGTAATAATAGCGCGGGGAACGATGCCTGAGACCCCACCGAGGCGGCGGCAGAAAGGTGAACTAAAGTGTGCCGAAGCGTGACGACAACAAGCTCCTCGTCTGGCGATTGGTTCAAACGATAGACGCGCTCTTGGTTTCGATTTCGGTGGTCAGATGTGATGAAAAAAGTTTATTTGAACGTTGGATAATATTTTGAAGTTGTAGTTGGGAATTAATAGGTTTCATACCGTGTATAAAAGCATAACCTGAAGCGATCTCTCCGTTTGTCACTGGTTGAACGCATCCCGCACTGCTACCTCGGGCGCGTAACAAGCATCAAGCAACCATGGACAAAAAAAAAAAAAAAGGTACGAGCGCCGGGGGCGGCGGATTTTTGGTTTTGGTTTTGTGCGTCGTCTCGTGTTCGCTTTGCAAACTCTCACCAATCATGCCACGTTTATGTGCAGTAGTAGGTTGTGCGAAAGGTCGGCTAAAGACATGCGGTCGATCGGGCGACGTTAATTTGCATAAACTGCCGACCGATGCAGCAATGCGCAGCATTGCTGCATCGGTCGCCAATCCAGAGTTCTGCGTCCTTAGCAGCATCTCCCGTTCAGTCGGCGTGAGGTCGCTGATTGGGAGCTCAAACTCGTTTGCGAGCGCGGCGTTGTCGTCCATTTCTTCCAGGTTTTCTTCACAGACCGCCGTGCACTAGAGCGAACCACAGGAACCACACTGAGTGGGCACTAAATCCTACCGATGCCGACAGTGCTCCCTGACGTCACTTCTCTTTCCAGAGGCGAAAAAAGGAAGAAATCTGAATGTTTGTTTCGGTTTCGCAAATTTATTTTCAGGTCCAGAAATAAGAGTCACAACGTTCTAGAAAAAATTGTTTGGCATGCCAGGACCCCAATGCTTCCGAAAACACCTTATTTATTAAAAAAATTAAATTGCCTTCATGGTCCCTTTAAGATATGAAATCTGCACTTCACAAAGGATGTTCTTAAGTCATACCCATTAATGAGAAAAATAAAAGCTAACTCTATTCCAAAGAAATTTGTACATACCATTCACGAGTGTCCCCTCCTCCAGACACCAGGAGCAGCCGAAGTAACCATTGAACTGCTTCATGTTGAGCAGCACTGCTCGTGCAGGCGAGTCCACTGAGCAGCAAACTGCGAAGACTCTTGAAATAATGGGATCCCCAGCATGACTCCAGATGATGGATCCAATCTTGACAAACTCTTCTACAAACGTCCTCATGAAGAGATGTGCTGGTGGGTGTACCTTTGCAAACCACAGTCCGCCAACGATCACATTTCGAAACCGCAGATGTATTGGCAGCTCATTTAGTATGACCTGAATCGGCCACACCGATGATTTACTCGATTTGAAAACTGGCGAACCATCTGTGTTGAGCGTCACAGTTACGTCACTCCAAGCCATTTCCATTTGTCTCCTGATGCTCTGATACAATCTCCCATCGAAGATGTCAGTGTAGATGCCAGAGGCATCAGAAAAGGTCCTCTTCAAAGTGTGGCAGAGGGGTTCTGCCAGTGCTGAAAACATACTGTGGAGCTGCCTCTTGATGTCGAATGTCAGGAAGAAGTGGCCCTTTGCAATCAATGTCCGTGGTTGGTAACTCTCCTTGCATGACTCACATGTCACTTTCTCCTCAGGCTTGTTTGATGGCCGAATGCCAAGGTAGGAGAAGCAAATGTGGCAGTAGAAGTGAAACTTTATGGTGCTCATCTTTTGTCTCCACAGCTTCCTGAACATATACTTTGAGTCGGGAACAATGGTGGCTCCAAAGAGTGTGTTGATCAACTTCAGTATGCCGTCAACCTGCGTCCAAGAAAATCCTCCGCTCACTACAAGGCACAAGATTAGAAGCACAGCCTGTGCCTTCGTCATTGTCTGGTTTGGTAGAGCCTCCTTAGATGCCCGTTCAAAGTAGTCTCGAATCTCAGCATCTTCATCATTAGCACAAGCTTCTTGGTCCTCGATGCCATCTGGTGGTGCTGCATCGCTAGTTGGGCTTGCAACCGATTCCTGGCAGTCGAAAAATTCATCGCTGCAGGGCTCCTGGATGCAATCGTGTTCAGTATCAAAACAAACCGAGCTTTCAGCAGATGAGTCCTCCATTGTGCCACCTTGGCCTGACAGCTCGGATGCCATCGGCGTGCAGAGGTCATTCTGTCTGCTTGAACCACTTATCCTGAGAAGTTCTTCCCGCTCGGCCAATCCATTCAACGTCAGATCAGCATTGGTGGAGTCCGCTGAAGATTGATCGTGAATTGGACCACTGTCGTCAAATAGTGCACGGTCGTCGGCTGGGGCAAGTTCGTCAGATGAACCACGGTCGTCGGCTGGGGCAAGTTCGTCAGTTGAACCACGGTCGTAAACAGAATCATGATCGCCATCTGACACTCTACTGTTTTTGCGGCGGTTGCACAGCGTTTGCCTTGGAATGGGCGATTGTTCCCCAGGTGCCATATAATCCCGATAGTGCCGTTTTCTCCCGGGAGGCATACCGAAGGGTGAAATAATATCGAGATATCACAAAGAGTAAACAACTGCCATTAAAGCTTAAAACAAAAAAGGCTTACGATGAGGAAGTCAGTAAGGAGACGAGGCGTCAGAGTACCGCGTGTAGAGCCAGAGCATCACGTTGCAGAGTACCAGCAATCCCAGCCAGAAACAAAAGCCTACGACCAGCAGCCCTAATTATGAGTTTTAGTGGCGACAAGTCTCGCACAGCATTCACAGCACCTCGAAAGTCTTGGCTTACCAACATCCAAATAGACGGTCGGCTCGGATTGGATTGGATTGAATTTTGGAATAGTTTGGAGACATGGCTTCAGCAATTAGAAATGAAGCAACGACTTGCAATTTCACCGCAAAACTATTATACACTTCAGATAAACATTTTAATTCATACATTTCACCTCGAGAACCACTTCAAATCCACGAGCGGAACTCACCCTTAGCTAATTGCTACCTCTAGGTCTGACGTGCGAATCGTTCAGAGTCTGACGATTGAACAACTCCAGGGACGACTATACGACTTATAGTACTATTACAAATGAGAAGCAGCAGCTTCACTTTGTTAATTGTCTTTTTCCGTTCACTTGCTCATCGACAAGGGTGACCGAGAACGGTAAAAGAGAGAACAATCTCCACAGAAGAAATAAAAGCTGCTGCTCCTTTCCTCTCATTCCGATCTTTTCACAACCACAAAGAACGATTTTGCGCGCTGACTGCCAATTCTCTCCTTCCCTTTTTCCCCCCCCCCCCCAAAAAAAAAAAAAAGAAAAACCTACTACCAATTTTTTACAGAAAAAAATAAATTCACGGGCACAATACGCAGTTTAAGGTGCTGGCTTTCATGTTCACAAACAAACGCAAATTAAAAAAACAAAACAAAAACGAACCAATGCATATGTGGCCCTCAATAGACCTATTGCTAAATTACCCAAGCATCAAGGTGGATGCAGGGATTGGTGTTCCACGCGCCACACGCGCACGCCTTCCCCGTATAAAATATTTGAAGTAAATAACCAAAATAAAGCGTTGACGAACGCGTGTGCAAGAAGTCATTTGTTTTAGGGGTTTGCCTTAGAAAAGTTACTACTGCTGAGGCCAGCACGTGTGGCGGAGCGTGGAACACCAATCCCTGCATTCTCCTTGATGGTTGGGTAATTTATCAATACGTCTATTCATTCAGCTAATCATCCACAAACCAACTACCTCGTTGCCACAGACGTACACAGCCAACACAGCCGCGTACGCGTGTACTTAGGAAACCGATACGGTTTCGTACGCGCACACCCCTCCGGCCACTTCCACAAAGAATAAAAATATATACGTATAAAACAGCGTGGAAAGAAGGACTGCACTTTCGACGATGGATCTTTCTGGAAGGCATGTGATCTGCACTTGGCCTCTGGAAATTGCGAATTGGAAAAACATGCAGAAAGCAAAAAACAGGACTTTCTCGAACTTAGCTTTAATTTTGTTTCGGGAAAGGGGGGGGGGGGGGGGGGCGGGCTCGGCTTTACATTGTTCGGCATTGTCTCGGGCTTTGCCTTAAATGACGTTATACCTTTACCAGCTCGTTTGCACCCTTTAGATTTTTTGAAATATTTTGAAAAAAAGTTTGTTTCGGTTTCGGTCGCTTGACGGCATATAGGCTTGACGGCGTCACGGAAACGATGGAGATGCCACAAATAATTTATGTGTCTTGATTAGTGCAACATTTATTAAGTTATATTATCTATTAGAACGGTCGGGAATACAAAAATAATATTTTTCTCTAGTATCTCATCTACTGAATTCACTTTTTTTTCCCATCTGCCAACACTGCGTTGGCAAGATGCTAACCTCATATCCAAATCCAAATCCAAAAGCAAACACGCGATCCATCACGGCCATTTTATTCGAGTTTCTTTTGTGTATCGCTTCCTAGTGTATTCCCTCGTATTCGCGTTTTCTACTGTAGTACTGTACCGCGTATTTCTGCATCTTTCCCGTGTGTTTTGTTTTTTGTACGTTTCATTCCTCGCGTCCCTCCCAGTGGGCATGTTCGCCAAAGTGAAATTTCTGCAAGATGGCAAAGTATCAATCGTCCAGACAGCTCTTGTGAAGAACTTTCATCCAGCCAACGTGGCTGACTTTGAAAGGAGGACGACTTACAAAGTATTTTGGGATGGGGACGAAAACACTCGAGGTGGATACTACGATGCAGAGATCATCAAGCTGGCGGGTGAGTGATATATCCACAATGGTGGTTCAACCCTCTAGACACTCGTTTTTATGGCAGTTATGCGAATTGTCACTGCACGTCTTGGGCGAATGCACACACGGCGGAGAGTACCGGGTCGGTCAAAAGGAGAGCAGAAAACAATATTAAGTGCATGTAATTAATTAGCGATACGTTATTTGATGTTTTAAGATGTGTTGAGCAAGTATGTTTATTGGAAGAATAAGGCTATACGCACGACGTCCTGCACCTCGACCAGAAAGGACTCGCGACGCGAAAAGTTTTGGTTCTCGTATAAAACCAGCTGTCAATACGAGATTAGCGAAGTTGCACGGAGAGACACCGTCCGTCTTTCGCGGTGAGGGCCATTGCGCACTGGCGCTCACTGCCTACTAGCCTCACCCAGTGCCCGCCCACGTCGCGTGAAGAAATGGAACTCTTCGTCGAGAGGTGGCCAGTCATCTCCGCCACTCGCTGTCATAATCCTTGTTGTATATGTGCAGTCGGGGCGGGATGGGGCGGGGGTGGCCGGTCGACGGTTCTCGGGGCGCCGCCGGCGCTGCGCTGGAGCTTGGAGCGCGCCGGACTGGGGTCGAACACATTCGAGTAGGATGTGTTCAGCCCTAGCTCGGCGGGTCCCGGGCTTTGGCATGGCTCTGGGGGCCGTCCGCCTGCTGTTCGCGTTTCTTTCCGTTTCTGACTGTGCATAGTGTTGTTGTCATTAGTGTTTATTGTTTATCTACCCCCCTCCCCCTCTTTTGTTGTTGCTGTTATTTATCTCCCCCCCCCCTCTTTGTTGTTCCTAGTGTTTATTGTTCATCTACCCCCCCCCCCTTTTTTTTTAAATCTAGTTTGGGTTTTGCAGGCTGTCTGGCTGCCTTTGGCCTTTCTGCCGCACCCCCGTCTCTCCCGAGTAGAAATAAATAAAATGAAATGTAGCATAGCATAGAGGTAATGCGTCTCCCTCAGACACAGCGAACCCTGGTTCAATCCCCATTGTCAACTTACTTTTCTTTTAAATTTTTTTTTTTTTTTAACATTGTGTTTTGTCGAGGCATTTAGCAATATTTACATTTCTTTTGTACGATTAACACTGAAAAAACCGAATGTTTTTGACGAAACTTCGCTCAGCTAATTGGTTTGGGACTCCCTTTCCAGAGGTGCATGGGGGACAGCGGGGCTTGGGTTGCCGGCTGGATGCTTCGAAGCGGGGTATACGGGGGGGTTTAATAGTTTTATATTTAGCAGCCAGCAGTTGCATACTGTCCTTGCGAGCGGCGTGGATGCAGGGGGGGAGGGGGGGGTTATCCCACCCCCCCCCAGCATCCACACTGTTATCCCATCTACCTAAGTCCCTAACCACTCATGTTCATCTGTGCTGCTAAGCACAATTGAAATTGCTCCCGTGCTTGTCTAAGACACGCGCTGAAGTGCAATGAAAACTGATCTCAGCTGCTCCTAGCCTGCTCCAGAACGTAGTTTTAGCTACTCCCGACCTGCTCCAAAACAGCTGTTTCGGCTGCTCCCGTGGCTGCTCCCAAGTACATTTCATGAGTTCCACCCCTGTCTCCGTGTCGTGCGTAAAGCCACTTCCGATCAAGGTGCACGACGTTGTGCGTATAGCCTTAGTCTTATTGCAATTGTTTGTTAGTGTTCACTGAGCAGGGAGTGACGTAGATACAAGCGTTCGTCGGCATTTTTAGTACAGTTCCAATAGGTCAGTGGTCTCAAACTCGTTTGAGGGTGAGGGCCAGATAGCCCATACTGGAAAGTTGGAGGGCCTCCGTAAGACGGGGGGGGGGGGGGGGGTAGGGGGGGGTGAACATTTTAATGAGAAGAGACCTCGTGCCCTATGCTTTTTGTAAACTCACAGTTTTGCCAGTGACATTTTTAAATTTGATTTGTGTATATGACAACTTTGGGCACTGACCTGATGTGATAACAGAAATTAAAATTACACTGCCCCGCCAACGTGCTGGCATTTTTAGTAGAACAAGAGAGCAAGTAATCTATCGTTCCCAGCTCAACATGTCTTTAAAAAACAATAATTTAATTTGGCAGTTCTTGAATTCCTCACTATTTTTATTATAACACTCTGAACAAATACTCGTCTTTTATTGTGATGTTTTTTTGAAGGTGAGAATCCCGAGCTCATGGCTTTATCTTTAGCACTTGCTCCTGCTAAGCGAGAGTTTGCGCAGCCGAAATGTATCCTTCAACGAATAGCTCGAGGTTGTAGACAGGTAGCGGAATTTTCGTACATTACAGAAAAGCTGGGAAGCAAAGAATAAAGCGAAACAAAGGGCAAATTAACAGAGAAAAGTATAAACCATGTGAAGAGGTGAAAAGAGCGGAGCTACTTTCCGAGCGAAAATGAATCGACGAGATGAGATCACTATGACACATGTCATTTCTAGCGCTCGAGACATGAAAATCGCTGAGGAGCGGGCCTGCGGGCCGCTTCTCAGCGAGTCGCGGACCGCGTGTTTGAGACCCCTGCAATAGGCAGACTGCCAACTGTCAAAAATCAGCAGGAAAGTATATTTAAGATGGCATTTCGAATTTATTTGTTGACTTCTGATCACATGTCCACTAGATACCAAGGAGAAGCTGTCGGAGCCATCAGCCAGGCGGGAACGGGCATCAGAACCAGCAGCCAAGCGGTCCTCCAGCTTAGAAAAGTCAGGAACCCTGACGAAAGTGAGTCATGATACGTATTCAGGGGTCACACTGCGATTTCGAGACTTCAGACATATAGTTGTGGGAGAGTCTCAGTCGCTTCCAGAACGAACAACTATAACCTTTTTTCCTTTCTGCATTTTTTTTTTTCAACTTTTACTGTCCCAAGCAAGCCTTGCACTGGAGCAAGATTTCGTCCCACTGGTTCTTGAGAATTTTCTTTGTTTTAAGACGATCAATGGTTTTGCCTGAAAATACCTGACCCATTCCGGCAGTAAAATAGAGAATTTTTATTTCAGTGTCCCTTTAATGGAAATCTTGCAAATGAAACAAAGTACTGCAAGTATGTGCTTGTTTAGTAAATCACCCTTTCCGTTTCAGAAAAAAAAAAAAAAAATCTGAGGTGCGGTGTAAAAAGCCAAGTTGAAAAGGAGCTGGTGGAGTATCTGGGTGACTCGGAGGAGGAAAAGGAGGAGGAGAACCCAGAGGTGCTGAGGCTGAGGGCCAAGCTCGACAAGCGGGCAGCAAAGATTCGCCGCCTGAAGGCCGAGAACAAGGGCCTGCTTAAACTAAACCACGAGCTGCAGCTTGCTCTTTGCGCAAAAGTGCTTGGAAAAGGTAAATGCTGTTTACTTAGTTCACAATATGTAGATAGTGATCCTGCATCCATTTCGATTGTACTGGTGTTTTGATGGAAAAGGTAAAAGGATACTCAAATCTAAAAGAAATGCATAAACATTGCCAGGTGTCGAAAGCGCGGCCACATTGGTTAAAAAGAGAAACATGAAAAATATGGAGTGGGCAAGCTCACAAGGCATGAAAGCTTAAAAAAAGAAAGATATGTGCAATCCCCACTTTAGGGGTGTGGTGAAACTTGCTACCATCTCATGCAGCAGATTGCCGACAACTCATGATCATCTTGTACAGTGCTTTTTCTTGACTTTAACACGGCTTTAAGAATGTTGTCAAGAACAATTCCAATTACACCAGCAGCCAGTGGGTGCGACAGCATTATTTGATTGAATGGGCGCGAATGAGCACCTTTGTATTTTAGACGGCAGCTTGTGCCGCCTGGTCGGTGGTAGCAAAATGCATGAGTGTCGACTACGTATGCAGCCATCTGCTATGTGGCACAAGCTGCTGTGTGGTACAGCTGTGTATACTATTGCAACAATACCGAATGGTTTGTAAAGTTTGTGTATGCTGTCCTTCTCGATGCCAAACTTCATATCATGCTTATTTGGTAATTCTCGAAATTTATGGACAATCTGGTCTAAACAATGTCTGGGACTCTAGGTTTATTCAGTGTTTGAGTTATACCGCTGTCACACGGGAAAAATAATGTCATTACCAGCAAATGACATTCGGCCTGAAGTGTCTTTCGTTTGCTGCCATACGGCAGTATTTAATGACATTTACTGGAAATGGCATTCACTACTGATTGAGTTATGCCGAACTCATTCGCAGTCACTTTCATGCAAACTGTGTTATCTCGACAGCAGAGACACTGTAGGGCGCAGTAATCTGAGATAATAATAACAAAAGCTTTTAGCCTTTCCACTTTGGTGAAGAAGGAAGACCAGCGGAGTTGTACTATGGTGGGAATGAAGTAATGGCCGGCCACAAGTCAGCAAGCCAGAGTGGAAAGGCTCGAAAGGTTGCATCAACTATGAGTGACGGCGGCAAGCAGACAACCGACAAACACAACACTCTGGACAGCTACGCCATCTATGAGTGACGGCGGCAACCAGAGTTTTGTGTTAACATTTCTTTTGCGGTGGACACGATCCTGGGGAAACTAGCCCTATAACAGCTCCGCTGTAAAAGGTACAAATTACGAGTTATTCAGACATACGTTAGTAGATATGCATTTCTTTTTTCTTTTTTTAACTAAAAGACAGTAGAGTGCAGAATGTAAAATAATTACTCGTGTTCTCATCCACCAAATTTGGCGCCTGATGGTCGGCCATGTTAGTTTTAAGTCGACAACGGCGGTTTCGGCGTTTTGATCACGTTTTGGCTATGGATCTCCCCGCTTCAATGTGAGCTGCTTCTGAGGCAGAAAAACCAAATCAGAAAGCCCACTGGTCTGCAGCTGAGACGTTTGCCCTCGTAAGAGCAGGGGAAGAACACTTGTAAGACTTGAGCCACCGCAAATGAGCACGCGAGCAAACAGTGCTGAACGTTTTGCAACATGTTTTGCAGCTCCCACTTTTAATTTGTGTCTCTGCAGTTCTGTGCGATCTTTCGCACGTAGACACATAAGTACGGTTGCCAGAAGTCAAGCACATGCAAAATCACCAGGTTCACGCTCTAATAACAGCCGTGGCACCACAGGGGCTATGTTGCTACATCGCAATGTAGCTTCGGCTTCGAATTGCTGCGTTGGTGTCCAATCCGGAACCTACAATAATGCTAATAATATAACAAAGTAATACCATCCAGCGTAAGATCTGCTTATTATTGTGTTTAAATAATCTAGGAGACAGTTCCAAGCTATAGACCAGGGGTTCTCAAACTGGGTTCCGAGAGCTAGTCTCATGGGTTTCGCAAACACCTAAATTTGACCTTCCTGCCCCTCCGTCCCCCACGCCGTGGTCTGCGCGGCAGGATCATGCAAAGCGCCTTCATCTCACTTTGTACTAACATTGCGAATGATATGGTGGCAATATATGAGAAGCAAGCGAAATTGCCTACGATTGTGCTTCTGTTGCTTCTTGGTCGGCAAAAATTTGAGGCAGTTTTTTTTGGTTTCCTGGGGTTCCGTGGGACCAAAAGGTTAGAGAACCCTGCTAAATGTTTAAGAACCCTGCTACAGGCAGTGCTTTTTTTCTAAAATATAATAATGTAATAGTTTGCTACAATGACTGGTGTTCAATCATCATCATGGAGTCTAATGACGTTAAACATGTATGTGCAGCACGGTCTGCAAGAATAATGACATTCGCTGAAAATGACATTGATTTCCCTGTGTGCCAGGGGTATTGTTGACATACCGAAAGGTTACAACAATTGTGAGGATGGCTGTTGTTGAAGAAACATGTACCTAGTGTCGTCATTTGTATTGTTTGCAGATGTACAGTTCATGCCCAGGTAGCCGTTATAATTAAGGGAAGTCAGCCTAATGGCTGACTTCCCTTAATTTGCCATCCACTGCTGGTTTATTGTATGTGGGACAGACCTCTTTTACTATTGATTCAGGTGACATTATTTGGTCCCAGAAACAGAGTGCATTTATTGCAGATGGGTGAAACTGTTTCGGCATAGCATTATATTGAGCCTTTTAAGCGGGAAGTTTGATCCATGAAAGAGGTCATTAGATGGAACTGATACATATTTCTAGTGTGCTAGGCATGATATTGGATGTTGGATTATTCTTAGCCCTTCCTGAACAAGTGCCAGGGGTCGCTGTAACAGCGGCTGTTCAAGCGGGGATCTCCGTGCCCATTGGAGGTAAGAAACATTTAGTAGTGCTTGTCACCAGCATTGTACTGAGCTTTATGAACAACTGGATTATTTTCAGCCTCACCTAGGCGAGTCCCAGCTCCACCTAGGCCAGTCCCAGTGGCAGACGCGGCCAAAGATGGTAAGAAACATTTAGTAGCGCTTATCACCAGCATTGTGCTGTGAGTTTTATGAACAACTGGATTATTTTCAGCCCCACTTAGGTCAGCCCTAGTAGCAGCTGCGGCCAATGGAGGTAAGAAACATTTAGTAGCACTAATCACCAGCATTGTACTGCAAGTTTTATTAACAACTGGATTATTTTCAGCTCCACCTAGGCCAGTCCCAGCCCCACCTAGCCCAGCCCCAGTGGCAGCTGTGGCCAGTGGAGGTAAGAAACATTTAGCAGCTATTATTTTATCAGGATTGTGCCTTGTGTTTCTAAAAATGAGTTGTTCTCAGCTCTGTGAGTGACGCATGTGATCTTGCTGTTGGCGATCTTGCCTGACGCACGCATTACTTGGGTTTGGGTGCATCTGGCGGGAGCTTGCTACAGACTTGTAAATTTTTAGATAATTAGTCAAACTTTTGGACAAGTGGCAAAGTGAATCGTGTTGAATCAGCTTTATATGGTGACGAAATCACTATGAATATGCATCACAGTGTTCATGAAAAGTTCATGCAGTGATGGTTATCTGCATAGTGACGACAAAATTAAGCACATTTTGACATAAAGACTGACAATATCTTTGTGCTTGGTACTGCAGCTTTAGTATGAATGATTTAGTAAGAATCAAGGTTGCTTACTGCTTGAGACCATTTATCACTAAGACAAGCTTTGCGATCGTAGTGTTCATTTGGAAAGCCAGTCTTTAGGTAATTGCAGTCACACGGCCAAAGTTGTTTTCTACGACACAGATTGGCAGAAAGTTACGAACATAAACTTTTTTATTTTTTGCATATTGTTTCATGTCACGATTTGAAATGTGACCATGTGCTTATGCCAGATATGGCTAGCAGCGACCAAAACGAGTCGCAACTAACTGGTCCACCTGACGCAGAAAGAGAGCCGATTGTGCAGAAAATGCGAGTGTGGAAAGCAGCTTCCGAATGCCAACACTCAGCATAATGTCATGCTGAGTTCATAGCGTTTATTCTTCCTTGGGGTTGCTCTGTTTCACCATTCACGCAACGCTTTACGGTTTACCGAGCCTTCTCCATTTCACAAAGGCCACTAGAACAGTCGGGCGTTACAAGGAAGACAAAGAAAACTAAATCGCCTAAAAATAGCATGAGGACCCAAACTGGCGCCTGCGACAATATATCCTCATGATTTGTTGATGTGGAATGCCGCGCTTTCTGCCTACACCCCGATGCGCATGAGTAATGCTGCTAGGGGGCACACCGGATGGCTTGTAGAATTGTTGTATATGGTCCTTTCTAGTGCCAAAATTCATGACTTTATATGAAGTTACTAGCCAGGGCTGCTGGAAACACCTTTCTCTGACCCGACCTTTTTGATCAGTTGCAGGACTACCTGCGGGAGATGCTGGAGGGCCCGACTGCCCACCACGTAAGTTATTTATGGCCCGACCTTTGGGTACTCGGATGTTTATCGTACTAACAGAACCCATACTTTAGTCAACCGGCGGAATCTTCCTGTACCTCCCATTGGGACTCCAATTGCAGACGGCAGCGCCAAATCTCCCCTAACGGGCGTTGGGTTTCTCCAAAAGGAATAAGAAAAAGACAAAACAATACGCGTGCTGTCGTCATGGCAACCGCTTCGTTATGGGGGAGGGTGCGAGAAGTGTTGTCCCTCCTCTACCTCTCTTTCAACCTCGGCGACAAAAGGATGCAAGTTCGTTCGGAGTTCGAAGCAGCCTCCGAACTCCAAACGAATTTGCATCCTATCTTGTTCTTCTACAAAACAATGTAATCTTTTGTAGAAAAAAAAAAAAAAAGTGTGCGTTTTTTGCGAATGTCTGACGCTTCCGAAACGATTGCACTTGACTTTGCGTCGTTCGATTGAGATCGGCTTGGCAGCAGTGCATGTTCAGTGACAGCCACTTCTCATTAAATCGTCAATCAATGGATGCAGAGTGCGCCCAGCCGGTGCTGTTTCGCGGCTTAAGATGTGCGCACATCGCCATTCTGAGCACAAGTCCAAACTTCTTTTGCAAGTTCTTTTTTTATTAGGCACGCTTTTTATACAGAAAAAAATTTTTACTGCACGGCACAACAAAGTAACAAAATCTACACAAAACTACTATTCAAGTATTCACAGACTTGCAATCACCCATTTAACTTTGCAGTAGTTAGCGACTGTGATTCGATTGCCACGGTCTCTCGCAGGTTCCTTCTGCAGCGCCAGCTGCTCCACGCACATGCTAGCGAGCTGCGGTGCTCTAACACCGATATTGCCTACACCGCTCATTTTAAGATAAATGCCCTGTCCCTTCTGACCTTCTACAATAACTCTACCATAATGAAACATGCAGCAGCAAGTTTTCGGCAATCCGAAACTGTATAATCAAAAGTATAGCAGCCCGTCTTTACCTTTCGTCATTCGGGAACCCAAAGGACTTGGCAGAGCTGTTGCCACTGGAATTAGAGCACCACTGAGTCGAGCAATAGACAAGGTTCCGTTTGCTCGGTGTACTGGTAGAAGAAATAGACCGATAACCACCAGGTCTATTTTAGACCTGTTGTATGCCTTCACCATCCTCGCCTTGTTCTTAAGAATGGTTATAAAGCGTGTGCATCTCAAAACGGCCCAAACTACTGTGGCGCAACGACAAGAACCCCTCCTGATCAGTGACGCAGATCAGGAACTCTACGCGAGATGACAGTGGCGCCTTTGGTAAGCGTGCCAAAGCTAAAAAAACAAAGTGCACAGACTAGAAAAAAAGGAAACAAAACAACAGACGTGTGCCATGTTCGTTTTTGCTGCTGGATAAGGATGCCAACTTGTGCCGCCTAGCAACTAAAAAGTAAACCTGGAAGACCAAATCGGCCGGGCAGGCAAGCGCGAGCGCTCTTATTATCGGATTATATTTTACAGCGGCGCTGTTAAGGGCTTGGTTCCCGAGGATCGTGTCCGGTACAAAACACTTGTCGACAAAAACGCCTCTGGACAGCTACTGCCATCTATAAGCGACGGCGGCAAGCACACAACCAGTCTGGTGGCCGCCGTCGCTGGTAGATGGCGGCAACCTTTCCAGCTATCATAGAAGAATGGATTGTTGGTCGGCGCGTTGGTGGGAATTCATCGTAGGAAACAGTGCGAAAACAGACGACGACAAAGAAGAAGCACACGTAACGAGCGCAGCGCTCGTCACATGTGTTTCTTCGTCCTCGTCTGTTTAGCACACTGTTTCCTACGCTCTTGTCAGTTTCGGTTTGGACTTACGATGGGTCAGCCGCGTGCCCTTTTGGGGAAAGAAGACTGGCTGCGGAAAGAGCGGCGACGTACGCAGCAGTGCGAATGGGTCCGTAACCACCGCAAAGCCGCTGTCGCCTCGACTTCACTACGTCGAGCGCTTCAGATTCCCTTGCCAAAGAAGAGCACATCGCTTGCCTGGAAAGCCGCCGCCGAGAACAAAACCAGCGATATAAAGGGCGTGGGCAGGCCAACACCACGGATGACGATCGTGCCACGGAGGCCAAACGCAAGTGCGAGGCCCGGCGACGACTGCACTCCACGCCGGCAAAACAGTTGCCGGGCGCGACGGTGATGTTCCAGAGGGAGTCCGTGGATTACCCGTCTGGCGTCTCGTGCACCGTGTGCGACCTAAAGCTCCTTCATGTTTCGAAAGTAGCGCAAGGTGCATCGATACACGAGGCACGTGCAGCCCTTGGGAAGATCATGGTGGCACAGCGCAGCACTGAGTTAGATTTCAAACGCCATGAATTTCTCAGAAGTGGGTGCGGCACATGCCTCGAGCATTTCTGCAACATTGAATGGCGCCACTTTTCCCAGGATAGACAGGCTTTAGTGCAACCGACTCTGGGTCAACGGAGACGTATCCACGATCGGCGGCGTGTCGGACAAGAAGAATCGGGAAACGGGCGCGTGCGCGTTGCAGCAGTGTATCGAGTGCAGCTCCGCTGGTCTTCCCTCTTCACGAGAGTGGAAAGGCTGAACGTTTTTCATGAAAAGTTACGGAACCATGGAAATATTGCAAATTATACATATATATGTATATAATTATACAAATTTCAAACCAACCAAGATGAATTATCGGGGTTCTACTAGATGTTTTACTGCGTGTTCCACTAGTGAAGCTCTTGCAAAGAGTTTCTTCAAGCTCCTAGAGTATAGAAAAATCTGAATATTAACATGATCCTGTTTGCATTTGTATTAATGTTCAAATTCAAAAGCTTTACACTGTCATAACTTTAGTTAATGTGAAATTGTTTTTCAGTTGCTGAGGTGGACGGCCTTGCTAAGAACGAGATCGTGGATCACACCATCGGCCTCCAAAATGAGGATGAAATGGTAAAATAAAAATTTTTTCGCAGTTCCATGCAATGTATGGTATACCGTATAATCGCGTGTCAGGGCCGCACCCCCATATTTAGAACAAAGCATTGCAAAAAAAAAAAAAATTACTGAAATTATTTGCGTATGCACCGCACCCCCTTGTTTTTGAGGCGTGCCGACTGTAATGCCACGTTTTCTATGAATTTGTATCGCTAGGTGGCACTAGCCTCTGCCGGAGCACATAGCAGCACGTGTCCGCATCTCTGATATCTGCTCTCCACTCATCCGTATCACCGTATGGCATAATGGCTGTCGACCTCGATCATGGTCGGCGGCACAAATGGGATGCGTTTGTGTTGCAGCAAGGCGTTGAGAAAAGATAAAGGATATGTCAGGTTCCGTGGCAAGCGCGAGGAATGGGGATTTAGCGGGCTCGGCTCGCGCGTGCACTAAGTTTTCGAACACCACTGTACGCTTTTCGGAGGTTTCCTTTTGTTTTTCGATTTGTGTCAAAGTGTCGCAATTCGTCTGCCTTTTCGCGCAATCTGAGAGCTATGGGCAAGTACCACTTCAACAGTCATACGGGATTGAAGTCAAAAGTTGCCGCGCATGCTATCAAGTACGGGAAAAAAAAAAAAGATGCGTATTGCGCAGTATGTAAACTAATTAAATCCGACTGACGATTGAGTTTGAATTCCGGAGTGAAGGCGTTTCTGACCAGTGCAGCCGAGTGTGCTCATGTACGTTCATTTCGGAATGTGGATACAGATATTTTTTTATTTTTTTTAATCCGTGTATGGGGCTGCACATAGAAAATTTGCCCTCAAACCGGGAAAAAATAGTGCGGCCCTTACACGAGTTAATGCGGTACATTAAAAGAACAGGGTGGTGTACGCACAGTAGATTGAATTGATTGCTACCATAAGCCTTTAAAACATTATTGTAGCCAGGCTCTTAATTGTAGTTATAGCCAGGGCCTGCAAATGTTTTATTGTCACGCTCACATGATGCAACTAGGGGTTACATACCTGTTTGATGCAAGTGACATGAAGCTTTGTGGGCTCATCAACTTTGCAGATGCCCATGTGGATGAGAATTTAAAGGTAGTACTGTTTTAAATTTAAAGGCCTAAATTTTATACCTGTAATTATTTAGTGCTTTTTAGATGCACCTTCTTGGAGAATACAGGACTACTTTGTGTCAACTCGACTGGTATGTGTAAAACTTTCTCGGTTTTGTTTATTGCAGATCCATGCTGGGCAAGGAGTCTACATCAATCAAGAATCCTGGATGGAGATGCAGAAAGCGGAGAGCGACTCTATGTTTTGTAAAATCACGGCCTCTTCCATTTGGCCAGTGGAAGTGCTTTTAGAGAAGTCAGTGACCGGCACCCTCTCAAACAAAGCAAAAGCAGCGGGGCAAGAAAAAGCATTTGCCCCACTTACTCCGCACAAGGTGCAGGCTCTCTCAGGTAAGCAAGCATTTTGTTTAAAATCTTGATACAATCCTCGCGGGGTCGCGTAAAATATTTCATGCTAAATTCGTATCAACAAAAGCGAAATGAAATTTATATTTTGAAGCACAAGGAATGCATTACCATGGATTTATTTATGGCAGAAAATATCTTGTATGTAATTTGCACGATTCTAACATGCCCCCGATAGTAACACACAGTTATATTCAACCCATGAATATTAAAAAAATTGGTGCCGATTCTACTGCGCAGATAAAATATGACGGCTGAACAACATACACCTCATAGAAAGCATGTTATCAAACTCACATACTCGAAAGTGCCCACACTGGGTGCTATTGAAGCCCTACATCGAACACTCTCGATATTCGGTTCCTTTGTCTTTCCAACCAAGCTCGCATGTCACCGTGGACCACACCGAAGACACGACCAACACCACTCGGTTTTCTCTTTTTGCCAGTGCGATCACTTTTTTTAAAGGTAACCTTAAAGTAAAATTGGTTTTGCTTTTCCAAGGTTGAACCACGATTCCACAAGATCGCAAAAACAAAACAGCGAATTTGGATTCAGATTGGATTTGATTTGAAGCATGTGTTGATGGTGATGGGGCTGGCCACTTTGCACAGTTCTTTTAGCATTTTGTTTAGTTTTAGTTTTTGTGTCCGATTGTAAAACGCATTTAATTTTGAGCTCACGTCTTTGAGTAAACAAAGTGCGGCTGATCCCTGGCAGCAGCCGGCAATCAGCTGCCCGGAGCCTTGGGAGCTTACAGTCACCGATTGTGGCCTCCTTACCATTATCAGATGCGGGGCATGCATTCATATCAGTGGTTGCAGCATGTCGAGGTATTTGGAATACCAGAAAATTTTCACGTTGTATGCATTGCGCTTTGACCGGGGAATTTGTGAATTCATTTCATTCTGAAATTCATACCAATTAGTATCACCGAGATTTTACTCTAGTAGGTTGTCCGCTAACACCCGGACGTGTGACCTGCCAAGAATGAAAGTCAAGCATAACAGATAATAACCGTAAATAATAATTGCACATTTTTATTTTGAAAAGATGGTTTTATTTTTCGTTCTAAGCCGCAAACTCGAGCAAGCGCTCGAAGAGAAGTCAACGGAGTGTGCGATGCGTCGTGGGTTATCCGGCAAAGTTGCGGTTCGGTTGCATGGTGGTGTAAACATGCTACAGCCTAGCCATTTGAAACACCTGTGGGCTTTGCATGGACCAACGTGGACTAAGCCAACTAAGCGCCCACGTGTGAGATAAGTCATGTCAAGGTCATCGTGTTCAGGGCGAGATTACTCCAACAGTTGAGTTACCTCCAAAGAGCGGCGCTGCTCCGATGTGTAGTGCAGCTACGTAGCGGTTTCTGTTATGTCACCACTATGTCACAAGATCTCTAACCTTGCTAGATTACTTCCCAACGAAGCTTTGGGGGCATCCACCAGGTGCACATTGAAAGACTGTTTAACTAGCTTTAAATTTAGTTTTCTCGTGCCTTTCAACGAAAGATTGTTGTTTTCGAGGTGATACTGCAACTTAGCCCATATCCAAGCTAGCAAATGAGCTCTGGAATTCCGTTTCCGTGCCCCTTTAAGATTTACTCTAAGCTACATTCTGGACTTTGTGTAACTTCTTGTGCAAGCACATTTTTTCGAAAAGCACCAATTAATTCCTAGAGGAATTTAACTTCGGCATTATGAAAACTTGTTTGTTTTGCTTTATCTACTTATTTTTCTTAGTGGGGACACATGCATCAGATTAAAATTCAAAGCAGCATGTTGAACTAAAAGAGAAATGTGCAAAAATGCAGGAACAAACATTCCCTTGTTTTTAATAGCCTACGCTACGAAAGGTATTCACTTATATTGGCTATTAGTTTCAGGGAAGAAAAGCAACATAAACTGTTCCTCTTAGCATTTGCATTTAATTTTCTTATGGTCATAATCGACTTGCTGACATGTATATTCGTGGTGTGAAATGCACTTTTTATGATGTATGCCAACTGTAGGGGGTAAATGTTCTGAACTCATTTAAACCATCAGTTTCTCTTTTTTGTTCAAGTGACTCCGAACCTAAGGATTGCTTTGTTATGGAGATCTCAGATTGTTATATTGGTTAAGTAAAGAAATAATGATTTGGAGTCTTTTAGAAGGTTAAGCAAAAACAAGCAGCTATAATATCCTGAGGGTAACCTAACTTAAAATTTAAAGTTAGGTGAACATATAAGGTAGACTACCTCATAGAGTGCTACCAAAAAGGGTTATAAATATTGTAGCCAGGCCATGAATGGACGATCTTTTAAGGAATGTGAAAGATTGTTTTTATATAGAACTGCACTGGTTGTTTCTGCTGTTCATAATTCTATTTTTAAATTCTGTGGCCTGTCTAAGCTGTTACCACAGCGAGAGATGAGGACCAAATGTAAGCAGTTTTCAGTGTTCATTGTCTACTTATCTCCAGTTGCAGCTCCTGTTTCTTACAAAGTCACTGGCCTAGCAGTGAGATTTATAGACATGGGTTACCTGTTTTGTGCTTAAAAGAATCTAACGAAAGCCAGGGTGGGAGTGGAACATGCATCAGGATGCTGCGGTTCTTTTGCTTTTATGGTAATCTCTGAACTGTCTAAATTCTAAGGTGCCAGCTGCCAGTTAACTGCTTCCATTGAGACTAATTTACACTTGGTCTTCTTAAACTATGACCCTCCAGCCTGTGTGTATGGTGTTCTACAATGTTTTAAAGGGATGCTGAACAAAAATCTGGATTCCGCAAAACACGGCGGCAAAAGCGTGCAACAGGATGCTACGAACACCAAAACATCACTCAGACAGAGATATCTCGAATGGATGACCGTATTTAAAAAAAAAAGAGGCGCATTTGACAGATATGTTTACGTCTTGTTTTTCCAAGAAAGAGAGGGAATGGCCTCGCGTCTTCTCCGCCTCGCCGCTTTGAGGGGGCAAAGCGAAGAAAGGAGGAAACGAGATATCTTCACATCACGTGCCTCGTCGGCCTCATTCAATCTCAACCTCTTTTTCTAAAAATACGGCCATCCATTCGAAATGTTGCCTTACTAGTAGTGTTGTAGGGATTGTAGCGTCCCGCCTACAGCTCCTGCTCTGTATTCTGAAGTCCAAATTTTGGTTCAAAATTCCTTTAGGTCTGAGCACTGCAAAGAATTATTACCCTGGATTTTCCTTATTCCAGGCTGCTTTTGGCTATACCTAAGGGAGAGGGGGTACCGCCAGGCTGAAAGGGCAGCCCGGCACCAGAAGATGCGCCGGTACCTGTCCGAAAAGCTGTCGGATCTGAGGAGAAATCGCTAAAAAGGTATGTGCTTGTATAGTATAACTTTCTTAATTAAGTAACATACTATTTTGGGTCTCAAGTTTACAAGCAATTATTTTAAATTATGGTATAGATAAATTATTTAGAGGTTAATATATCTCTAAATATTTATGCAAACAACTTTAAAGTAATGTGTTGATCAGCTGACCACTTGAAAAGGCTGTGGGTTGCTTGATTGCTATTGCTACTCCGTCAGGCTGTGCTCAATAAATCCCCAAAACGTTGCATGGTAACACAATTACAATGAAGCATGTCACTCTTACTGTCCCTCTGTCGTCTCTCGGCCCACTCTTTTGTTGACGTATGTCAATAATCTTCCTGTGTTTGGTCTCATTGGTCACTAAATTGCCCTTGATATGTCCAGGCTCATCCCTTTGCCCTGTCCTGCCCCAACGTATGGTCCCGCCACGGACTGCTCATGCTGCTGCAGGTCTGCCATCGCTTGCACTCGATGCAGCCTTTTCACCGTTTTTTTTATATTAATTTAGCTTAAGTTATATATTGGAAATACTGTTGAAATGGAACAAATGTATTATTGCAGCCAATACGAGCTGAAATGCCACTACGCGTGGCGCACGATACTATGAGAGTTGTCTCTCGGATTGTTCAGTAAACCTCAGCATGCGCTGAGGTGGAGACAAATCGCTTGCGCTCATTGCACCACTATGCCGTTCCGTTTCAAAATCTAGCTCATAGTGGTGCAATGAGTGCAATCAGCAATCTGCCTAAACCTCAGCAAACACTGAGGTTCGCTGAAAAATCTGACAGGTGGTGCTGATAGTACCCCATGCCACGCGTCATGGCATTTCAACTCATATTAGTCACGATGTTACTTCCTCAAATGTTGTGGTTTTTCTGTACCATATGCTCCCAGCAAAGCAATGTATAATGTCATAATTTCATAATAAACATATCAAAGCAACGCAGCTTGTTTGACTTTATTCTTATTAGTAGCTGCATTTGCCGTACTCATACATCAGGCTGGTGATTACTAGTGTGCAGTGGACAATATAATTCAATTCTAAGTGGGACATGCATTTCGTCACGCTCCAAACATGGCGTAATTAAATTTCCACATTATGCATTCACATATTGTCGTGCTTTGCACTCAACCATTTGTTTAAGTGGTGGCCAACTCGAACTTCAATGTTTCAAATTAGCCATCAAACCACCATAATCCAATTATTAAAAATGGACGTCCCAAAATACGACAGGTTATTCGACCATCAGACCATCACACCATCAAACCATCAAACCATCAAACCATCACACCATCAAACCATCAAACCATCAGACCATCAGACCATCAGACCATCAAACCATCAAACCATCAGACCATTAGCCGTCCCAAAATACGACTCCATCAGACCATCAGACCATCAGGATTTTCCTGATGGTCTTTTCGATAGGGGTTGCATCAGTATATATATGGCAAGAAGAGTGTTGCGTATATAAATGAGATGAGGAAAGTTGCTGAAGGACGATTGAAGGTAGCGCCGATTTTTGGTTATACCTTGGATGGTGTTGTAGACTTCAAGGGGGGGGGGGGGGAGCAGTAACCAAGGTGGTGTACTAAGAAAAATTGGATTTTGAAATTTCGCTGGAAGGATCTCATTATGTTCGATAATAACCTGAGATATGCGGCTATAGAAGCGTGTCTCCGGAATGTTGGCGAGATGATGAGAGTGATGTCGTGTTAGATGGCGCATATGTATCCGTAGAGTTTCTTGGGTGCGAATAGCTTTGATATGAAGGCAATGAGATTCTGCTACCGTGTCTTTGGTTGACGTTGATCGCGGAACCCCAAAACACACTTTAAGAGCCAGGGCCTGTAGTGATTTGAGCATTTTCATGTTTGTTGGATTTAAGCCATGCATCACAGCTAAACTGTAGCTTAGGACTCCAATGAATGGGCTGTTATATAAACGAAGAAGAGTAGATGTAGACGTTCCCCAAGTAATACACTCTTAGAAAAAAGGGTATGGATAGTCCTCCCTTAGGGGGAGGAAGGGTCTTGTAACCTATGTTCCTTTAGAAAGGAAGAAACTTTCGTCCCTGAAGCAGGGGAGAAAGGTTCCTCCGTCGCTTGCATCTCAATATATCGGCCCCGAATCGAGCAAATCGAGCCCAATAAGGCTTGATGAGGACGCTACGTCTCTTGTACGGGACGAAAGGAGCAGCGAATAAAAGCGTAACACGAGCTTTCCGCGAACGATGTTTATTTCCGAAGCCAGATTCCCCCCAAAGGCACAGAAACTTGCGTTTTGAAAGCAGTTACTCAGTCTTCTCGTCGACGGCACTGCGATGTTAAACGGAGACAACCGATACCCAGTTACTTCGCGCACTTTGCGTCTTCCCTATCGAAAAGACCGTCAGGAAAATCCTGATGGTCTGATGGAGTCGTATTTTGGGACGTCTGATGGTTTGATGGCCTGATGGTTTGATGGTCTATTGGCCTGATGGTTTGATGGTCTGTTGGCCTGATGGTTTGATGACCTGATGGTTTGATGGCCTGATGGTTTGATGGTCTGATGGTCGAATGACCTGTCGTATTTTGAGACGCCTATTTTTTACGGTTTGATTATGGTGGTTTCATGGCTAATTTGAAACAGTTCGAGTTGGCCACAACTTAAAAAAGCACAACTATATGTGAATGCATAATCTGGAAACTTAATTATGCCATGCCTGGAGCATGACGAGGTGCATATCCCACTTATTATTTAATTATATTGTCCACTGCACACTGTTAATCGCCAGCCCGACATTTGAGTACGGCGAATGCAGCTGCTAAGAAGAATAAAGTCAAACAAGCTGCATTGCTTTCATATTTTTATTATGAAGTTATGAAACCATACATTGTTTCGCTGGGTGGAATGGCTAGGTGGTACAGAAAAAACAGAGACATTTGAGGAAGTACTATTGTGACCAATATTAGTTGAAGCGCCATGACGGATGGCGTGTGGTACTATCAGAGCCACCTGTCGGATTTTCAGTGAACCTCTGTGTTTGCTGAGGTTTAGGCAGGTTGCTTCTTGCACTCATTGTGCCACTATGAGCTGAAAATTGACACGGAACGGCATAGTGGTGCAACGAGCACAAGAAGTAATTTGTTTCTACCTCAACGCATACCAAGGTTTGCTGAACAATCTGAGAGACAACTCTCATTGCGTGCCACGTGCAGTGACGTTTCAGCTCATATTGGGTGCGATAGTACATTTGTTCCATTTCAATAGTATTGGCAATATATAAATTAAGCTAAATTAATATGAAGAAAAGGGCAAAAAGGCTACAACATGGGGTGCAAGCGATGGCAGACCTGCAACAGCATGGGCAGTCCGTGGTGGGACCACGCATCGGGGGAGGACAGGCAGCAAAGGGATGAGCCTGGACATTTCAAGGGCAATTCAGAGATCAGCAATGAGTCCAAACACAGGACGATCATTGACATACGTAAACAGCAGAGTGGGCCTAGAGACGACTAAGGGGCAGTAAGAGTGACATGCTTCATTGTAATTGTGTGACCATGCAACTTTTTGGAGAGTGAGCGAGCACGGCCTGATGGGATGGCAGTAGCGACCAAGCAACCCTCAGCCTTTTTCAAGTGGTCAGCTGATCAACAGACTACTTTAAAGTTGTTTGCATTAACATTTAGATATATTAACCTCTAAATAATTTATCTATACCATCATTTAAAATAATTGCTTGTAAACTTGAGACCCAAAATAGTATATTACTTAATTAAGGAAGTTAGAGTATAGATGCACATACCTTTGTAGTGATTTCTCTTGAGATTGGACAGCTTTTCTGACAGGTACCGCCGTATCTTCTGGTGCCGAACTGCCCTTTCAGCCTGGCAGTACCTTTCTCCCTCAGGTGTAGTCAAAAGCAGCCTGGAATATTGAAATTCCAGGGTAATTATTTTTTGCAGTGCTCAGACTTAAAACAATATAGAACGTCATAAATACAGGCTGGAGGGTCATAGTTTGAGAAGACCAAGGGTAAATTAGTCTCAAATAAAAGCAATTAAGTGGCAGCTGGTACCTAACAAGCCTTCAACGTTTCTTAGTATTTACAGTGTTCAGAGATCACTATGAAAGCAAAAGTACCGCAGTATCCTGATTTATGTTCCACTCCCAATAGACAGCTCACCCTGGCTTCTGTTAGATTTTTTAAGCACAAAACAGGTAGCCCATGTCTATAAATCTCACTGCTAGGCTAGTGACCTTGTAAGAAATAGGAGCTACAACTGTAGATAAGTAGACAATGTACGTTGGAAACTGCTTATACTTGGTTATCATCCCTCGCTGTGGTAACAGCTTAGACACGCCACAGAATTAAAAAAATAGCATCATAAGCACCAGAAAGAACAATGCAGTTCTATATAAAAACAATCTTTCACATTCCTTGAAAGATCTTCCATTCATGGCCTGGCTCTAAATTTAAAGGTAATTAAACACTCTTTCAATGTGCACCTGGTGGAGGCCTCTCAAGCTTCGTTGGGAGGTAATCTAGCAATGTTGGGGATCTTGGACGTAGTCGTGACATGGCGAAAACCGCTATGTAGCTGCACTACACATCGGAGCAGCGCGGCTGTTTGGAGGTATACTCAACTCTTGGAGTAATCTCGCCCTGAACGCGATGACCTTGACATTACTTATCTCACACATAGGCGCTTAGACGGCTTAGTCCGCTTTGGTCCACGTAAAGCCCACTGGTGTTTCAAATGGCTAGGCTGTAACACGTCTACACCACCACTATGCACCCGAACGGCACAGCTCGTAGCCACGCCAGCTTTGCCGGATAGCCCACGATGCATCGAGCTCTCCGTTGACTTCTCTTCGAGCACTTGCTCAAGTTTGTTGCTTAGAACGAAAAATAAAATTATCTGTTCAAAATACAAATGTGCGATTATTTACGGTTATTATCTGTTATGATTGACTCATTCTTGGCGGGGTACCCCCATCACATGTCCAGGTGTTAGCAGGCAACCTACTAGAGTAAAATCTCGGTGATACTAACTGGTACGAATTTCGGAATAAAACAAATTAACACATTCCCCGGCCGAAGTGCATTGTATACGACGTGAAAATTTTTGGGTGTTCCGAATTCCTGTACGCTCTGCGACTGCTGATACGAATGCGTGCTCCACAACTGATAGTGGCAAGGAGGCCACGATCGGCGACTGTAAGCTTTCAAGGCTCCGGGCGGCTGATTGCCTACTGCTGCCAGGGATCAGCCGCACTTTACCCAAGAACTGGAGCTCAAAATTACATGCATGTTACAATCGGACCCAAAAACCAAAACAAAACAAAATGCTAAAAAAAACTGTGCAAAGTGGCCAGCCCCATCACCATCAACACATGTTTCAAATCCAATCCAATCTGAATCCAAAATCGCTTTTTTTTTGTTTTTGAGATCTCGTGGAATGGTGTTTCAGCCTTGGAAAAGCAAAACCGATTTTACTATAAAGTTACCTCTAAAAAACAAAGTAACTGCGTTGGCAAAAACAGAAAACCGAGTGATGTTGGTGGTGTCTTTGGTGTGGTCCACGGTGACATGCGAGCTTGGTTGGAAAGACAAAGAAACCGAATTTTCGCTTGCAAGTTTTTTGATGTAGGGCTTCAAGAGC